AGCTGGAGATTTAATCACCAGTAGAGATCTGCTATAATTTTTGAGCCTGGAATATTGCAATGTGATATATATCTAGACTCCTAGTTTCAAGGAGGAGAGAAAGGTCTCAATCCATACATGTGTGTGTGTGTGTGTGTGTGTGTGTACACATACATGCCATACATGTATCCACTGCATCATTGTATACATGTATGGCATGTATGTGTACGCGCACACACACACACACACACACACACACACACACACACACACACATGTATGGATTGAGACCTTTCTCTCCTCCTTGAAACTAGGAGTCTAGATATATATCACATTGCAATATTCCAGGCTCAAAAATTATAGCAGATCTCTACTGGTGATTAAATCTCCAGCTAGACTGGAAGGAGGTATTAAGAGAGGGCTTAGCTTAGAGTCTGTAGAAAGTGTAGAAAGTGGCACAGGCTTGACCCTCCCCGGAATCATCTGACCATTCCCAAGACAATGCAGTTAATCTGGTGCGATGCTAGTAAAATAGAGTGACTAATAATAAAGCTTCTGCTAATTCACAAGCAGTTCTGATTGTTTGCGCCCGACACATATATAACTTATTTTGCTTCTTTTTTTACTATATCCCCCATGCAGTTGTGGTTTAGAATATGACCCAAGTTGAGAAGGTGCGCTGCAAATCCATTTCTTAATCTTAGCACTTTGACCTAATAATGGCCTACCAATAGGTATTCATGAAAAGTAGAAGTATAAATAATCAAAACAATTGTATTCAAAAAATGATTTTTGAAAGATTTCCTCCAAAATGATTTGCTACTTATTCTAATAAATCATTCTTGCTCCCATGCATGTGCTGAAGATAAGGCCAGGATTTTGCCCGTCCAAAACCCACCCGTTTTCCCTCCAACAATTTCTACCCACCTCAGGTTCATAGCGGAACAAGATGCCATATTCCATTGGGTAAGGAATGTTGTCAATGTCGAAGGAGAGTCCAGCCCCATCGCGCACACGGGCGAAGCCTGGGCCTGTCCATGTGATCATATGGCCTGTGTGTTCCCGCTGTACAACTTCCACATCAGGCTGTAGATAAAAAAGCAGTGTAAGTAGTAAAGACATGGTACCGTAGTCTTTCCAGTGTTTCTTACTCACAACTTTCTGGCTTCTGTGAGTATGTTTTTAGCAACTTGACTGGCAAGTGGAAATAGACCTTTGAGGAAGCCTTCCCTGCTATGCCACTGAGTTACTATTCCAGCGAAACCACATGCTTTTCTTACAAGCTCAAGATGTGTTTAAATCATGACAGAGAAGCACAGTGGATTTAAGTTTTATTCTTTTACCTTTTGGCTTAATAAAACCCAGAGCTCAACAATTTCCAGGCATCCTCTCCCATCTCTTGAACCTATATTTCTTTCTTTCTTTCTTTCTTTCTTTCTTTCTTTCTTTCTTTCTTTCTTTCTTTCTTTCTTTCTTTTTCTTTCTTTCTTTTCCTTCCTTCCTTCCTTTCTCTTCCTCTTCCTTCCTTCTTTCCATCCATCCATCCATTCCTCCTTCCTTCTCTCCCTCCCTCCCTCCTTTCTTTCCTTCCTTTCTTTCCTTCCTTTCTTTCCTTCCTTTCTTTCCCCTTCTCTCTTTTTCTTTTTTTTTTCTTTCTTTTTCTCTCTCCCTCCCTCTCTTTCTTTCTCTCTCCCTCCCTCCCTCCCTCTCTTTCTTTCTCTTTCTTTCATCATCTCTAATCTATCCATGGATCCATCCATTTTCACTTTCATCCCTACAACACAAGTTATTTTTCAGAGAAAAAAGAACATAGGAAATACAGGTGGTCCTTGACTTATCACTTAGTGACTGTTCAGAGTTACGATAGACCTCTTTGGGGTATTTATTTATTAGTCCTGAGATTCCGACATTCAGACATATATACGCCACAATTATGTGACAGCATTTTGAGCAACTAGCATGCATTTATGCCTGTTTGCAGCATCTTATGATCATATGACCATGTTTTATAATATTTTTTCCCCAAAAAGTTGTATTTACATCCAGTTTTTAGCAAAATTGGCTCGCAACAAACAATTGGTTCACTTAACGACTACATCATTCACTTAATGTCTGGTGAAAAAAGGATGTAAAATCAGGTTGATCAAGCTCCATTACAGTTCTAAATTGAGGTCTAACTGTATCCAATGGTGGGATTCAGCCAGTTCGCACCACTTCAGGAGAACCAGTTGTTAACTTTCTGAGCAGTTTGGCAAACTGGTTGTTGGAAGAAATCATTAGGGCAGAGAACCGGTTGTTAAATTACTTGAATCCCACCATTGCTTGTATCTAATTTATATACTGCCCAACTCCCTTTGATTCTGGGCTGCAAGAGCCGTGTACTACGCAAGGAGTTAATGTGTTATCAGACCCATAGCTATCTATAAATTCCCCTAAGCTAGGACTTCATGTGCAGTGCAGGACAATATCCCTTCACTGGGATCAAAGTGAAATTCTGCTGCCAGTCCAGTTTGTTGAACGTGAGCTGGGAAAGAAGGTCCCATCTTATTTGCTCTTTTCCCCTTTGGAAGTCTTCTTTGGCAGCCCTACTAGTATCTCAGAGAGCTCTGGGCAATCCCAGTTTCTCTTCCAGCATCACTTTCCCCACAGACATTTTCCCACAGTCACCTTTTGTTGAAGCTGTCGGGCTCTCGAGAGCGCCCCCCGCTGCTGCAAGAGTCTTATTGTGCTGTGCTGGCGCCTCAGCCTCACCCTGCGCCCATTCTGGACTCCGTTGTAATATTCCACACAATCCACAGGCGATTCTGGTCGCAAGGGACCCTGTCACCGGGAGGAAAGCAGATCTCACTGTAATTGTTATGGGCGATTGTGTCTTTCTGTCTTGGCCACCCAACAATCCAAAGGAGCTAAAATCTACAAGGGCAAAATGGAAAGGAACCATATTCCCCTCTACAGTGTGTGATCTGGACTCCTTGCTTGAGCCACCTGGATTGGGAAAGGGATTCCATTGGATCATACACCAAATCTCTCAAGATTGTTATGTGCTCTGAGTACTATAAAAAATATGCCAGCAAATATAGCAATCTGTTGGACTAGACCAGAGGTGTCAAACTCAATTTCATCCCTCTCTGACTCAGGGCTGTGGTTGACTTCAGGGACCCAAGTGGGCATGGCCGACTGGTTGGGTGTGGCTGACTGGGTGGGCATGGCCAGCTTGACAGCACTCACTGGGCATGGTCAACTGGATGGGCACAGCCGACTGGGTGGGCATGGGCAGCTTGACACCACTCCCCAAATTGCAGGCATGTTTCCTCTTTGCATTGGGTAGACTGGGCTGAAGCCATGGTAGCCCGATGTTTCCTCTTCGCATTGGGTAGACTGGGCCAAAGCAATGCACGCCGGCCCCTTACATTTTCCAGGACGGCCCCAGGGGCCGAATCCAATCACATTGTAGGCTGGACCCGGCTTACGGGCTTTGCGTTTGACACCCCTGGACTAGACAGAGGCAATACATGGACCTCCCGACTTCTCTTTTACAGCAGCCCCCAGCACCTTGAGATTTTGCACCAACAAGATTTGATGTGTGATTTCAGCTCATGGATGGGGTTAATCTCTGTCCCCAAGTTCAAAAAGAAC